TTTAAAGCCCTTAGCCGAGTGGACTGGTACACACGATCTCTGGCCTGACAGCAATTTACTTTGAAGCGGTCTTAGATCCATTTGGTCAATGAGGGCGCACCTGAAGCCGATGGATGTTATATGTTCCGAGCGGGAAACTCTATTTATTTTGCTTCCCTTGTATCTGAGTATTGAGTAGAACTTTAAAGGTGTAGATCCTCGGACAAGACATCTCTCCGTGGGATGCCAGCGGGGCCATCCATCCATAACCTTGTTTCTGGCTTTTCATCATCGTTCCTCTCCTCCACTAAGTTTTCACTCTGAAACTTTCACTATTTCAACATCTCAGCGCGCCTCGTCTATTTCGCCATTCGCATTCTGTTTGCAGACCACTTTCGTTGTTCACTCTAGCTGGGGCTTATTTGAGCGTTTCGGTGAACTCTTGAACGATTTGCAGTTCATTGTTGCTGTCCTTATCTTTCTGGCCTCTTGGGAGCTAGGACACCCGATATTGTCAGTAAAAAGGATCTAAACTTATCAGAAGTGCTTTATGAACCGCTGAGGAAATGCGTTCAAGTTGTCTGTTGTCAGTCTACGTCTCCACCTTTTAAAAGGGTCGTCGAGAATCTCCATGATCATAACCAGTGAAAGCAGGCGGGACTTCTGGATTTGAATGTTTCCCATTGATCACGCTTCGTCGGGTATTTGCACCGTGCACCGTGTACACATAACTAACTCGGTCTCCTCCACTTGACAGCCATTTCTTATTCAGCTGTATACATCTTTCATCTTTGAATATCGCGCCGAGATCTAAGATCTGTTTGCCTGGAGTTTTAAACATCTCTGGTCGGAAAGATTGTATTTCATAAAAGACTTTCCATTTACAAATTTCAAAATGGCTAGAAAGAACAACATTTTAGCAGGATGATCTTAATTCAGCTATTTCGCTTATTCTCCTTAGCTTGTTACATGCAATTCGCGGAATGGCTGGGTTGCATACAGGGGCATTCAAGTGGGGCGATGGCGGTCAAAGTTCAACCCACGCTGTCCAGCATTCCGCCCAGAGAAATGTGGCCACCAGCCTCACTAGTGATGAACTCGGCCTATTTAGAGAGTGCTTTCCGAAACTTCAGCAAAGTGCAGCTGACAGAAGGCGCTCTTTCGGTTGGTTATTGTATTGATTAAGCTTATTTTCACACAAGGGGCAATCAAGTACAATCAAACCCCCGTAAGTTGACCACTTAAGGGATTAGACCAAAGTAACCAACATATGGTGGTCATATACAAAAACAGCGTACCGTACTTTTCTCCTTGTGAGTAGTGTAGTAGGCTACCCAAGTGGTCAACACATAACTAACAGGTGGTGAATATACAGAGGTCTGGTTCCATACGGTTTGCATGTTGAACGTTCAAGTTATAAAAAACAGTCAACTTAGTGAGGTGGTTTATACGGTTGCGAAACCTGGCCCCTAAGATCGGCGGACATGAAGAGGCTAGTTACGTTCGACCATCGGTGCCTTCGCAGTTTGGCTCACATCTGGTGGGAACACCGCGTGAGTAACGAGCGTGTTCGACGCATTTTTTACGGCCCAGGAAAAGGATCTGAACCGCTCAGCACCGTTATTTCCCGCACCAGGCTCCGCTGGCTGGGCCACGTGTTACGCATGCCAGCCCACCGACTCCCTCGACGCGCGTTGTTTGCTCACCGGGGATGTGGGTGGAAGAAGAGGAGAGGTGGCCAAGCGATGACTTGGTCCGGAGGAATGAAGTCCCTCACTTCGGAGCTGGCCTCGATTGGAGCGTCACGGCTCCCTGGTTGTGGTCCAAAAGACGGTGAACACGTTTGGCTGGGTACACTTGCTGACATGGCAAGGAACCGACCTCAATGGCGTTCCTGCTGTGAGTTTCTTTGTCCCTCCCCATCCCTTTTAGCCTCCCCCTCCACCTACGAACTCATTTCGTAGAGCAAAACATAATAATTTTTTTCTTTCTTTTTGCCTAGTAGCTGGCTGTTAGCTTACCGGAACGATGCCTATCCGTTGCTGGTAGCTCAGCTGGCATGCAACTGTTGTATCTATTTTTCCTTTTTGTACTGTTTTATATGTGTGTATGTATGTGCCGCGTGCTGAGGCTGATGTTGCATTCTTGATGCTTCTTCACCGCAGTTGGGCTAAACCAACTTACACTTAAACTAGGTCTTTTTAAGCTGGCTAAATTTCATTCCACTTTATTTGGTTTGTTCTGCCTACCTGAATAACCTTCTATTAACTGGCCACGTTGCCTACATTAATTGCGCTTATCTTCGGTAATTTTGTTGCGTTGGTAGCATTTTTAAGTAACTTGTGGACATTTTTTCCTTACCGTGGATTCTCTGCTAACCAACTTACTTCATATGGTAATTTAACGAAGATTATGCCACCGTATCTGTATGCATTATTGGATTTGTTATATTTCATCTTGTCGTTCCAGGTGATTGGCTGTTGCTTGATATCCCCGGTGTGGCTGCGCTTGATGTGCATGTTGACAAGGTGCCTACCTGTCTATTACCCACTACATCGTTCATACTGGCTCCAGGAGACAGTTGGTCGTTGCTGGAGGGGACGGGGTGCCACGGTCCTTGTGGCCGTGCTAGGCTCAAAGAGCGGTTCCATGCACTGAGTGTGGAGCGGACTACGGTCCAGCCACCGCCTTGTGCGCGCTTGATTCCCCAAATACAGCGGGCTTGTGTTTGCCTGTGAAAGAGTGTGGGCCGACTCCGTTGATGAAACGTGGCTCCCATCCGCATGCCTCCCGGTCTTATTCCTTCGGGTTTACACTGGAATATGGGGCGTGTGGTTGGAGCTGTGGATGGTGCAGCGCAAGCCACCCGTGGTCCCTCTGTAGGCGCAGGCGTCCTGTGGCTGGCCACAATGACAGGCAAATCCGAAACCGGATGCCGCCAACCATGTATTTCCTTCATGTATTGGGGCACAATAGCGGAGGTGTTTTCCCACCTCTAGCTGACGTGTATAATGATGATGAGTGAGGTGGTTAATATCAAAGGTTCTACTGAATGTATCAGGCGCTTGAACTAACGGCAGATTCCTACCATTCTCTACCAGGTTGCGCGGAATATGCTCTGCCATTCTTGCGTACAGTTTCCTGTCAGTTCGTCCGACGTACTCGTATTTATTTGTGTGCTGTCTAACCTTTCTGATGTGCCGCATGCTTTGGCACATGCTTCGCATGTTCACACTACTCTCACATAATTGGGTGGACGCACTAGACTCTCTTACCTAACGAACAATCTTCTAAGTTCGCTTATTCAATGAACCACATCACTTGCGGTCAATCCGACAGTGAGTTTGCAATATCCATTACTACTGGCCTTGTGGCTTTTCAAAGGTCTTGGAGGAATGGATATTACCTTTTCATTTAATTGCAAAGTGTTGGACATTATGTTTCGTGCCTTCCTCTCTCGAAGACATGCCACCTTTCAGTAGAGATATGAGGAGGCCCTCCGTTTTTACTCAGCACTGGGGGGCATGTAATCAATAACACGGGAGCCCACAAGTCAGTGCATAACAACAAACCGTATGATTCAGCACTGATCCAAATTTTAATTTGTATTAGCATTCCATCAAGCTCGTTATAAATGGGCGATCGCTCAGTTTCAGTTGAATTACCTCATCCGCTACACACAACGAAGCGAACAAACGATATTATTAGAAAAAATAATAATACGTCTTCTCAATAGTTGACACAATTCACGCTATGAATGTTAATCATGGCAGACTAGTTTGCTGTGCAAACTAAACGAACCACAGGAGATCAGAGTCGTCTGATAGAGTGGTTTAGTCAGAAGACGGAAGTGACATTTTGACACCACTTGACTCGTTATTGCACCGCATCTGATGAAGTATCTAACTCAGATAGCTTGTTCCCGGTCCCATATCTGGGAAGTTGCACGCATTAACCCTATCTTTAATGCTAATCCTACCTCTTTAATCACTGTGTTTCCGCCATTTGCATCCGTAACACCACATGCCCACTAGTCTCCTACCATCGGACGCTTCTTATCAAGACATGCTACCCTCTATCTTCAGTGGCGTTCAACGTTTGAACACTAAGACAGGTGCAGTTACACGCACATCAATTAGGCGAGGTAACGAAGTCTTAGCTGCAAAGGAACTAACATTGAATCTTTTATCATTTGAGCATGCTGAGTTCAATTTTGACTTTGACGTTGCTCAGTATGTTGCAGATTTTTTGAACATCGGCTGTAAAGCTTTTAAAAAGAGACAGTGATAACTGCCATGTGGGCAAAAGTGTACTATGCGTCCGAAATCAAATTCGTGATTCTTACACACTTGTGGAGCTAATGACACCTGGTCCATCCTCTCACTAAATGTGTTCCCCCTATCTGAAGACTCTGATACGGTAATCATGAGTCATGTCGATGTGGTCATCATTTTCAGCCCTAGGTTTCCAAACTCGCTTGTGGATTGGGTTCCCTTCATTACACCTTTATATATGTGCAGCCCCTACGTTAACGTTAACCAGGATTAGTGCAGTTAGACTGTGCTTTGCGTTATCTGGGAATTTGCCGTCTATTTATTCATCACTCTCAGCAATCACTCGAACCATGTTGGATGCAGATAAACCTACCATATTGCTCACTGTTTACCTTGCGCCCCAAGACTATTTTCGCCCTTTTAGCTTCACGTGTTTTTTCCAAAAACCGTAACAGAGATGACATCAAACGTGGAGTGCATGTCCCAGATTTTTCTCTCCGAACTCATCTTGTTATCCTGCACTGTAGTTTTCAACGGTACGTGTTACGATTCCTCGATGCGGCATAAATCATTTCTCCGTTGTACTGAACTTAATTACCCTTACTGATAGTGTCTCAACGTAGTCTCGCCTTGTCTCTGCCTTTGTCGTTACTTTGTCATGCTAGCAACTTCTTCTTCATTCAAAACAAATGTGCCGCTAAATAGCGTCGCCTTATTCGTTCTTCATTGTTCTGTACTTTAACCAAGCTGATCGCACCCAGCTCATCTCATACGGCCTCTTCCTGTGCGGGTCCTATCTCTGGTTCAAAGAGTGAATACTCCGCGTTGCTGAATGAACGTGCCCACGAGTCTGCAATTTTTGGTCAACTCTCCGGACCTCCTACAAGCACTCTCGGAAGCGATCCAACTGATTCAAAAGAAAATTTGGTATCCTCAGTGGACACCGTAAAACAGCTCATACATCAACGAGTAATAGTTCTTTCCCCCATTTAAATGGATCTGCTTGTTGTTTTCATGTTTATTTTGAATGGAACCGCCTGAACTGCTTGATGGTTTCGCTCCTTTTGGAGGATATTTCCAGGTCGAGCATTTTGAGACAGCTCGTGGAGGTGAAATTCAATTTATCGATTTGACTCGTGTTTGATTTCCTACAGCCACATAAGGATTGCGGATGTTTATCAACCATCACTTGCTCTGTTATGTCCCAAACTCTGATGTCGAATTCGTCAAGTTTTGTCTCGGCAGTAACCATGGTTTCTTAAAAGGAAACATGTAGCTTATCGATATTTTTAGCATTTCGTGTTTCTTTTCATTTATGATGGCATCACTGCGACTTTCGGTACACAGCAATGTCCGCTTCAGCCACAAAACTGATGAGGTCGGTGACCATACTTTATCTTTGAAGACGAATTAACTCGTTTTTGTCTTCAGTTCTGCACATTCCATATCTTACATGCCTATCCAACAAAGCGCTGACAGTTGTTTTCTATCTGATATCTATGTTTGCTCCCCCATCCCTACTCGATTATCCTTACTTTACTCTACTCCACAGTTGGAGAAGTCAGACGAAACTGCCTGGGCCAGTTGGGTACTTCGGTTGACTGTGCTTAAGGAGGCCAGAGCGAAAGAACTCGCCGTGGCTGCTCACAAGCGACGACCTACCGGGGCTCCTTCTTTCGGTTAATTTTGCACCCACATTTGCACTTTTCCTGGGCATTCTCCCTCTTTCAGTTTGTCAGACAGAGCACGGTGTTTGAATATAGACTTCTCAGAGCAGCTTACCTTGTCAGTTTTCTCTCCTCGTAGAGCAGCCGACTGCAATTTCAATTGATTTGTCACTTCTTCCAAGTTGGGGATCTCCCTCGTTTGCAATAAATCGGAATACCGCGTTTTTTTGTTTTTCTGTTGTTGAGGTGGTACAAAACGAATGCTCAGCCACAGCAGGCCTAGCTCAAACTGGTCCGGTAGATTCTCTATATACTAAAATGTTTCGCGGGATCAATGTGTAGCCTTCTCCGTCAGCGCATCGCCGATTAGTCGCATAGTATCATATGGGTATACAACAGATGGCTCGAGCCTTTACTAGGAAATTTTTAACGGGTGTTGCAATCATTCACCAGATCTACACTAACCATCTTCTGACTGCTTATGATTAGTCGGCGACCTGGAAAATGCATACGCTCACCAGGTTCCATATGTTGATTAGAGGAGAATCGCATAAATCAATATTATGCAAAAATGTGAAGATGCGAAAGGATTCAATAGGACATCAAAATCAAGGTGACAATGAGGTATTATCATACAGAACAGCGGCACGCCTGAGTATAGGGTTTATTTTGAGGCGCTTGTGCTAATGGATCAGAACGCACCATCTGAGTGTGAAGAACAGTCGATAGCCAACTTGCATACACAGATTCGATTGGCTTATGATTCCAAGTCGCTGTAAAACATTTCAGAGTACTTCGCTCATTTAACAAACTACGGAGGGTGACATCCAAATGCTTTTTGAGTATAGTGTAGGTAGGGCCTTTAAAGCTGTTCGGAAAAGCTTCTCAGGGTTGGCAGAACCAAAGACGGATGTAATTTCATTCATTTCGAGCTGAGCTCCGAAGAGTTGCAGCATACGTGACACAATCGCTCATTGTGTGGTCACGGTGCTACCACCGATGACATCGATTTTAATACTCTGGCTCTGAAATGGCCCAGATTGAAAATCCGCTGTTGCCTGAAATTGGGGGTCTCTGGCGCTGCGGGGTAATAGTTGGTCCAGATCGGTTTCTTCGTGAATAGCACCTCGTTTGCTCATGGACTGTAATATACTTTCATTTTTACAGCCTCTGCGAAGATCCTACCAGCTAGGTGCGTGACTGCTACCTACAGTGCTTTCGGAGAAATATTATTCTCTCCAAGGCAAGTGTGTATACTCAGGGATAGTACCCCTGAAACTGCTTCCACAATGAAAGCGAAGCTGAATAAGTTGATCTTCATGAACAGCAAATTCGTTCGAACCCTGTAACTCCCGGAGGATACAACATAATGATGGATTTATCACTGACAAAAAAGAAAATGCTTGATAACTCCCGGAAGTATAGTGTGAAACAAAAGATGAGTTCATAAAAAGAGAATTGACGCGCGGCGATGGGCTTACTGCAAATTTCAAGTGTTCACGTAGTTTGATTACGTAGTCTCGTGTGCTAGTAACGGGTTAAGTCATCTTATGCCGGTGGCGTAATGTGTCATCAAGTCGAGTTCAGAATTCATCTTGCGCAAGATCGGAATTGACAGACTACGGAAATATGTACCACGGATAAGATACACAAATAGCGGAAACGTTCCAACCGGCTGCACTCCGTGGCTGACTTCAAACGGTGGCCTTACAGTGAGGTGTTGGAACAATGGTATAATACTGATAGAAAAGCCAAGGCTTGACAAGTCCCGTGGGATGGTTTGTGGGAATAAAGTTAGTTCAAGTTACACAAAAGGGAAAAACACATCTGTGGACTTACCATATTATCCACGTTAACACATGGTTATATCCGTCTAACCCGATTTCATGGGGTCGTTGAGCAAAATGTTTGTTTTCGTCTCGTCGTCACTCAATGAACAGAAGTCAGATCAAGTAGTGTAACTGGTATAAAGTATCGTCGAGTCGTTTTTAAAAAAATTGGTAGCGTGGACGCTGAAATGACGAAAGTCGAAAGAACTTTCCACGGTTGACAAACTCGAAGGGAAAAGTAATTCCGGCGACACTCCAACCGACGGTGCGTTCCAGATCGTGTTTAGCTGGTCTTCGTCGTCTGAAGATTGGACGATCTTCACGGATGAGCATTCTCATGTTTATTTTTTTCACACAGGTCAACCATAACTGCTCCCATGTCGCTGTGCATGCTGGCACCCAATTCTTGTTTTACACTATCGCTATTCTACGGCGCATTTAACTCGATAGACGCTTGAACAGATGAATCACATATTTTGTGATTTTGTGGTTATCACCCCAACCATCATACGGGACTTATTAGGCACCTACATCTTTACCCGTAATAAATCATGGTTCATTGTTTATTAATCATCATTCTGGTTCGTTGCTTTGCTGACTTGTCCTGCCTTCGTCCGCTGTATCTAACTCGCTTTTCCGCCTGACATGCTGCTGTTCCAAATGCGTCTTTCTGGATTTTCTGTCGATCAAGTGTGAAAAGATTTGGATCAGCTTGGAAGATTAACAAAGTTAAATTGTTGACTAGACCAACTTTCCTCGCTGTGTCCAGAGGCTTAACCGTATGCAGGGTTTTCAATGATCACTCGCGACCAGGCGCAGCGACGCGTCATTGGCTTGACCCCACTCGTGGACATAGTTGTGGCTAACTCGATGTCACAGCTGCACAAATCAACTCGATGCGAAAGGTACGATTTTAGGGTAATGCAGGCGGTGCTTCTACCTGGGTGCACGGCAGAAATGAAAACACATCTGTGGACTCACCATATCCACGTTAACACATAGGTATATCCGTCTAACCCGATTTCGTGGGGTTGCTGTACACAATGTTTGTCTGCGTCTTGTCTTCACTCCATGAACAGAAATCAACTCAAATAATGTAAAGCATCGTCGAGTCGTTTTTTAACATTGTGGGTAGCATGGGCGCAGAAATGACGAAGGTCGAAAGAGCATTCCACGGTTGACAAACTCGAAAGGAAAAGTAATTCCAGCGGCAATCCAACCGACTGTATTGGGTGGCAAGTTTCAATTAATGACCCCTCAGTTCTATGTTGCAGCTCAGCTTCAAAAGTTGGCGGCAAGCGTGACCGCGGTTCTTCAAAATCTGGAACGCCAAGATGAGATCACCTCGTAGATGGCGCTTTACACTCCCAGGGATTTCAGTCGCTTATGGTGGGACAAACCCTTCACATTTTTCGTTGCCCGTTTTTGTGTGGTCTCCAGTGCAACCAGGTCATGTTTTAACCAGGGTTTTGCCTATCCTGGATCGCGTACTCTATGTGGGGCCTCACATACACATTGAGAATTTTGGGGAAGATGGAGGGATCGAACCTCCCGAACGCCCTCTGTAACAGACCAACATGTTGGTTCGCAGTTTTGGTCGCCTTCAAGGACAGCACTGAACAGCCGAAGTCGTCTTGGATTACCACCTCAATGTCTCGCTCTTATGAGGCCGTGTTCCGCATATGGTCTCCAAGCTTATATGCGTACGTGGGCTTGTGGCGGACATGCACGATTTTGCACTTGTCCGTGTTAAACGGAAGTAGATTTATCTTTGACCATTCAAAGCGCAGCCTAAGTCTCGTTGCAACATATCGTGATCTTCCTGACAGTCGATTGTCCTCCATACTTTGATGTCACCAACAAAAAGCAGGAAATTTTACTTGATGACACTCGCAAGGCCGTTAATGAAGAGAAAGAATAACCGCGGCTCCAACACCGACCCTTGTGGAACACAGCAGTCCACATCAATTGGATCAGAAATGAACCTCGAACTCGAACCTGAAGGCACCGCTAAAAGAGGAAGTTTTCGATCCATCCAAGGACAGGGTTTCCAATTCAGTATGCTTGCAGCCTTTAGAGCAGGATGCCGTGATCTGTGCGGCCGAATGCTTTGGAAAAGTCTTGGTACCTGACATCAATGCCGGTTCCACTGTCGGTTATCTCGGTCCAACTGCCTCGAGCAAGCACTAGGTTGGTAATACATGACCGATGCTGACAGAATCCGTGTTGCTCCGGTGCTATGATGTTGGACCTTTCAAAGTAGCCCATTGCAGCCTCAGCTGTGATCGTTTCCATCACCTTAGAGAGCACCGGGAGGAGAGTCACTGGGCGACAGTTGGCTGGCTCTGAACGGCTACCACTTTTGAAAATCGGGGTAGTGATGATTTGCTTCCACATGTTAGGGACCTGCTGTTCGTCCAGACATCTTTGGCAAAATCTCGTTAGTAGTTCAGCTATCCTCGTAGATGTCACCTGCAGTGCTTCCGAGGGAATGTTGTCAACTCCGGGGGAACTATGGGTGCGCACCGAAAGCAGCTTCCTCAAAATGGTCGCGGAACTCAACGTGACGTGTGTAAAGACTGGCATCTGGGAGAATGGGGCAGGTATGTTGCAAATGCTTCGTGTACATCGGAAAATCGGAGCGGATTGTAGCCGTTGAACGTTGGCTGCATCCTCGGTGGTTTGAGCACATTCATCCGCTGACATTAGTGGGGAAACCGCGTTTCACATTTTGGAGGCTGTACACAAATCTGCCGGGAGTTTCAAATCATGAAGATTGAAGTCACCTGAGATGAGAACATTAATCTATCGTCCTCGTAGGACCCTTCCCAAGTATAATGCCAGGCGTTAGTCCATTTCTCGGGTGGACATTGGGGGACGATAAACGACGGCCAAAAGGCAAGTGTCGTTGCGTCTCAGTCGCAGACTGCACCAGATTGAGTCTATGATCAGCGTTTCCGGTTTACACTGAACGTCATTGCGGTTGTATGACATTACCCCCTACCCGCCTTTGCTCGGCCGATCGTTTCGGGGAAGTGACATACCATTTATCGCAACTCCGGCATTGGTAATTTTTGAGTGCAACCTAGGTTTTCGTATTTAATATGAGGCCCCAGGCATGTGACGTTTGACTTAGCCGCAGTGTGGTAAGCTTGTTCACGAGACCTTGTGCATTGGTGTACATGCAGGAAAATTTCTCTGTTTTTAGCAATGTATCATGGGGTGGGTGTTTTGGCTAAAAGGTAACTAATCGGTCAGTAACCAATCGTTTTTTGGGTGAGGGATGACGAACTCATCTGTGTCCGATCCATGGATCCTACCATTATCACTGCTTCTCTCTTTGTATTTAATGTATGGGCTGTGTTTGCCAGTTTCGTTGGCTAGTTGCTTTAA